TATTATCAAACAACACAGTACAACAAGATGCTGATGATAGTGTTTTCCACTTCTGGCCTAAACATCTTATATGAACGATAGACTTGTCAAAGTCAGGTTATGTGTCCAGCATTCTTTTTCATTCATTCTACCCCTTCTGCGTGAACCAATTTATTCTTTTTAATCAGCTACCTGTTTAAAATGAAACACCTAACTGTTTTTCTGCACACTCATTGCCCATCTGTTTCATCAAAACCGCAGCCTTTTTCCGTTGTTTGTGAGAGAGACAAATGTTGGAGTCCAGCTCATTCTAAGTGTGTGCAAATAATTGTGTCCATCGCTGAATTTCCTATTATTTATACCTTGGCTTTCGCTGCTCTCATTCAATAAAACGATTTCGTTGGGTTGTTTTACTCATCCTGCTCCTTTTTTAAAGGTCTGTCGACCAGGAGACAGGATCTAAGTCCAGTCAAATTGTCGCAAACGTTAACTTTCAACTTCTTGTTGCACATCTTGCTTCTTAGACTGCCTTTCCTCGCGTAACGTCACTGCTGTCAATCATCTTTCTTCTTCATCAGAAACTGCAGAGTAGAACATTTGCAAGATCTTCTCCATCCTTCAGCTTTTGCTCTGAATGTCGAATCAGACAACCTCCATCTCTTGCATGTGATTTCCCTCCAACTAGTTTGCAAAATACTCTTCTCCCAGTTCATAGTATCCTCCTTTCCACTTTCCACTGCGCATAGTTTGTACACAACAATTTCTAGCCTTCTCAGGGCATATTTCAAAAGTTGAGTGGTTGCTTGTGCTTTCGTAAATCTGATGAAGCGTTTTTCAATGCCCTTATTTTATATTCTCTCCATGGTACATGCATACAATCTAACCAGCCTTGGTCACCTCATCCATAGGAACACTCATATCTGAAGATACTCTCGATGAAGACGGCCATACAGTCTAACGCTTACCTTCACCTTCACAGCACGTTGGCGACGTCAGTAATATGTTCTTTACAACCCAAAACCTTCAGTCCAACGGCACTGTATGTATTGGACATTCCACACTCCAATACAGAACATAGCGTGTAAAATTTATCAAGTCAATATTGCCATTCAAATCGGCACTGTTTCTAGCTTTGCGATTTCGGGTGTTCCATAACGAGAACAGTTAATTGAAAATACCATTAAACCAAATACACAAGATAATTTCCAAAAAGCTTGAATGGTTGTTAATCGAATGCTTCATTTTCTCTTCAACGATCTTTCATGACTTCAGTCGCCCTTTTCCAGCCAAACCTTACGGAACCTGGTTGCTTGTTCCAGCCATAAACGAGGCTTCTTTATAGAAGAGGCACAAAGGGGAACATGTACCTCTTTGCCTCTCTATCCATAGTTCCAAATTTCAAATTTATCGAAGTAGTTTATGCAAATTTTAACTTCGTTTTTAGTTTCACCATCAATCCCCTCATCGTAAATGTAAGCCTATCTCCTATCAAAAAGGTGTCGAATATTAGGGCTAGGCTTTCAGTTTTTTAAGTTTGCATTAACTTTACAAATAATTACAGAGCATACCAGAGGAGGCAGAGGGAGTTTGACGGGGCAGTTCATTCATTTCATTTTAAAGAGGTCCGAGATCCATGGCAAAAGGTCCGACGGCCCGTAAAGCCCAGCCCAACATCTCAAAGTGAGACAAATCTTGCGAAATTTCGCTACGAAATACTTCAGCGCAAAAAATTTCCTATGTGAATGTTTTTGTTGACCTCCAACGTTGGAAGCTTGAAAAAGCAATAACGGATAATGACTGAGCTGCTAACGGATTTTCTCACGAAAAATTTGACTTACACCACATTTAAAATTTGTTGCAGGAAATTTGTTTCGCAAAAAAATCCCAGCAAAAGTCACTGTGCAGTATCAGACGGTTATTTCGGCGCGAACTTTTTCGTATTTCGCTGATTGGGTTGTATTCTTATTACACATCTCCAGGGGTGGACCCAGAAACAATTTAAAGGACGGGCAGTTGGTAGTGGGAGCGCTGAAAAAATTTCAGAAGAACCGGTGATGAGAGTACGCTATATACAAGAAATTTCAGGTACGAAACTATTACAAGAGTGAACGCTAATGTAAGCCCCTCTATTCACGTCAAAGAAATTTCGCAAATAAGTTGTGCCAAAGACATTCCAAAAAAGGGCGCGCAGCTATGCTTCAACTTTGTGAGGAATGGGCAACTGCCCTTAGTTTGCCCCTCAAATTCCTCCACTGACCATGGAGTAAATCTATTCTATTTTATGATAGAATCAATGCATGTTAAGTCTTATACAGGCAAAAAACGATTGTTTGAGAATCCTTAAATTTGTTTCAGAACAATTTTACCTGAAATGGGTCGTTTCCTTAAGTTCTCAGAGATATCGGTAGGTGGGGAAGGCGGGGGGGGGCTTTAGTCTGGCGAAATCACTCCTAGGCCCAGCCTGAAAAATGAACCCGGACTTCAATTAATTTGCTGATACTGTCAGTTTCATGAAGCTCAGTGGGAGAAATGTGATATAAAAACAGTTTCTATCGAGTCAAAATTTTATAAAGAAGATTCGCTGCCTAATAGCTTTTAAAAACACGATGTTAGAAAAAACGACATTGATAGAGAAGATGGCAAAACACTGGACACAATTTTCGGCATTGATGGGATTCACCAACACACCGTGCGTATATGCACAAAAAGACCGAGGCACTAACTTCGTGTACGTAATGGAACCGAGAGGAGAAGGTGGAGAGCATCGCTTCTTCCACTCTTTTCTCATTTCACGCTTTCGCGCTCGGGATTTTGTGGCACTTGGAAAAATTTATCAATTTATTAGTTTGGCGGAAGTGGTCAGCGTGTAGAACCAAAAATGCTTCCTCGTAAGCTACAAATACGTGTAGCTACTAATAATCCTATCGATGGAAAGTAGAGTGGGGGGAGGTAAGTCTTCATCTGCCCGGCCCTTACGCTCTAATGCATACAGTTTACTATGTGAGAATTTGGTCTTTTTTCGAATGTTTGGGGAAATATAAAAATTATTAGTTCTGTAATTCTTAAAGGATTATACAGCGTTTGGTTCCACAGGCTTTTAATTTTTGATAATTTGCAGCTGATAACTTCGTAATGATCATCTTTGCTAGTGAAGATTCAACCACATTTTCAAAACAAATTATGCCTGTGGCATCAGAAAAAGAACATACGTCAGAGCTTGAGTGATAAAATTCACAGACACAAATAAACAAGATAATGAATTTCTGAATCTTTTCTGCAATTGTAGGAAGCATTAATAACGAAAGGTTCGAAAATTCAGTTTGGGGTATTCATTCACCTTTTCATTTGTTTTTTATTTACTTCCCACGAAAGGAGGAAACACTCAGGTGTTAAAGTTCCAGAACTGTCTCGAAAGTTTGAAACTTATCTCCATTTCAGGTTAAAACCAATAATACCAATCACTTAGCAATAACGAGGAGTAGATCTACACATTAGAGAAACCAAATACATTGCTTTAATGGAATTAAATATTATAAAAGAAACTGTTGTCAGCTTCACAAGGGAAATTACACAAAAAATTTGTGAACGAAGAAGGTAAAGCTGACAAATATATTGAAACATATAGTGTAAATCTGACCCCCAAGAAATCTTTTTGTTGCTTCTATCGTTAATCGGCGTCACTCAGGCACTTCAAACTAATTACTTTCATGGTGACCTGCTTCTGCTTTGTAGAAATTATGTAGTAGTTCTAGAAGGCTCTATAAAGAAGAAAACATTAAAGGCAGGCTCCAATAAGAGCAGGCTTGTCTTATCGTGGCAGGACTCTGATCCCACTGGACAGCAATTCAATGAACACAAAGCTCGTTACTTTGACCACATCGTCTGAATGATTTCTGTACGTCTCAGTGTTTTTCAGTAACAAGATCTTCCGAACCTCATTTGTCAAAATGACCAACCAATACGGTAGAAGCAAACCAGAAACTCATCTCTCAGGATCACCTCTTTCTTTGTGGTCCATCTTGGACAGCAGGAATCGGCCTCTTTCTTTATTTTATCCTTCGACTTTTCCCTATGAAAGAAAAAAGGGGAAATCATTTACCCAACTATTAGAAACTATAAAGCAGGTAATGATGAAACATTGTCTGACAAAAAATTTAAAAAATATAGTGTTAATATATAGGTCTAGTCCAAATCCTGCTTTTACATTAAATCTTAAAAGGGTAATGCTAGCGTCTTTGATATTGTAAATCAGGACTTTAAGCTGCAACTCGAGTGTTCGCTGAAAACTTTGGACTGAAATTAGAGCAAGAGTTTGAAACTCTTTTGTATATACAAACGGGTTCGTGAGTTGCAGCTCGTGATGGAGCCAGCACGTTATAGATTATGCGAACCAAACTACACTGTTCGGTCTTTTAAAAGACAACATGAATATAAGCTTTGTTTTTTGCCGACATATCAGTTGACTTTTTGAATGGGCGAGAGTTATACCAGGACAAACCAGCCGACCAACTTGATTGAAGTATAAGTCTCTTTAAAGAATAGGAATTATTATTCTGTTTTTGAAAACAAGATATACATTCCGTCAGCTAGAAGGATTTGATCACTCTACTCAGTATGAAGACTTCTGTGATAAAATGCATCACGTATCGTCAAAGGATCACAGATATAAAGCGTACATGTGGTTATAGGCTACCCATCCTTCCACTCTAACGTGTTGACCAATCAAAATTTGCGTTACAAGAGAAAATGTGAAGCAGTTCCACTTTCTTTAAAATCGAAGAACCTAGACTGTTCATGTGAGTGTTTCAAATTCCTTTCAACGTGCTTGCTTATCGAGTTAATTTTCAGATTTGCTGTACTCTACGCATGTAAAATGCCTTTAAAGTGAACATTCATACCAATAAATTCGCATATATTGCTAATGCATAAATGTTAGCTGATAAAGGGAAAGTCTTGAAGTCTGTTTTTCTCCATGGCTATGAACAAAGAAAAAATTCTGGCACAGTCATAGGGGTGTCCATCGATTCTTGCCCTCTTATTGGCGGTGTCAAAGGGTTCTAGTCTAAAGCTTTAAGAAGTAAGTCTTAGTAGCACAGAACATTACCATACAATTTTTCTGAGCTCTGTAGTCCTTTCGGGCATTCACCAATTGTCGGTCCCTCTGAACTTTCGTGTTCTAATAAGACGATGATGCCACGCTTTTTCTTTCCTTTCGGTTTCTAAAAGTAAGACACTGAATCCCACTATTAATAGACATTGAGATTGGCATCTTTGCAAACATATTACAAAGCATAAAATAGAGATAAAAACTAGATGTGAGAGGTTTATGAGTTAGAAATCAAAACAACAACTAAAGTTACTGCTGAATGGCCCAGTTTTACTTAATTACGAGCACATATTAAATTTTCAAAAAAATCAAAGAAAGGAAAAAATATCAGGGTTCCTCATGACAGAGTGAAAATTATACAATTGCGCCAGACCCTCCCACTAATTCGAAAAGGGAAGTACAATAGAAAGTACCACTAGGCAAGAAATAGGACGTAATTTAGGTAGACAACAAAAACTTTTCTTGTTATTTTACCTAGAGAAATCTTTAGCAAACTAAATAACTGTCTATTTCTAATAAACATCCCTTCTAAATAAACTCACAGCACTTATGTTCTTATGTTTTACGTCTTATTGATGTCATTGGATTGGCTGTTGCTTGCTTTTTTCTCAAAGTTTCTTTGCTAAAACTGAAAATGAAATTTATACATAGCAAACAAATTGGATAATTGGTTTCAGCTATTATAAAACGTAATGAACTCTCAATAAAACTAGCAAACATTTCACATAGTAACGAGAGCATAAGACATGGTCTATTTACAATTCTTTACATATCTCGCCATTCAGTCGAAAAGAAAAGCTATTAGACATAAGGTACATTGATACCCTATAAACTAAACTTATTAGAGATAGATTGTTGGCCATAAAATTATCCATTTTTCAATTAAATACAATTAATCGCAAATGTATTTAATATATATAATATAAGTATATATATATATTATATATATAAATATATATATATGATACTATATATATATATATATATTTGGAAAGGAAATCTGTAAGCATAAGAACACAAAGGTTTAATGTAAAAATAAAGCTGCATTTGATAGTTAATGCTATACAAAAGTACCTTCTTTCTCTGTGTCAACAAAAAACACGTGTTCTCTCTGATGATTTGCCACATCATCAATCATATGCAACTCATTTTGTAGCTTCTCAATTTTCTAGAATCATTTTTAAAAATTATTCTCATCATAATAAATCACAAAAAGAGAAATAAGAGAGTCTTCAACAATTACATATTTTGGTGCAATTTCATTGACTTTTATAAACTAAGATTTATAGAAACAATTCATTCAAAAATTGATCTTTGTTGAATTCAACAAACTCACTGAATGTAAACAGGTTATAGCCATATCAACATGCTGTCACAGATTGAGAGATATGTTAAAATGATATCAACTTACCTTTCTCTCCAGATTTCTCTTAAAATTGATATAATTCAGATTTTGACTTTTCATTAACTTGAGCTGCTCCGCTGTGTATTTCTTTTCATTTACAATTGTGTGTACCCCATCCTGAAAGAGAAGAAAAAAACGCTAAATATATCTTGAATCATGAAAAATAAATGAGAACAAAATAATTAATCTTGCAGGTATAGTGATAAAAATTATTGTTTACAAGTCTGTCATTAAGTGCTTCCTGCCATAAAGGAATAGCTGTATGTGCTGTTTGGTACATAGAGCAGAGCTGTTTTAAGCTGAAACTCTGAGTTTCACATTTATCATCAAGCAATAATCAGGCAAATGTTGAATAGTTATAGCTACGTTATAAGAGGAATAGAAATGTTATCAAACCAGAAAAAATTGCAACAAATTGCAACAGAAAATCAAAATTGCAACAAACCGTTGTCTTTTGACTGATCATTTTGAAGTAAAACTCATCTGGATTTTTCTCACTGGCCTAGAGAAACCAACCTTGCAACATTATTAATTGCACAGTCATACACAACTACATCAGTTGTTCATAATATATCCATGATCAATAAAAGTCTATTGGGAAGCTAGAAACAATAAAGAATTAGAAGTCTCAGTAAATCTAGCCAGCAAAAAGGCCATAAACAAAAACTATACTAGTGTATTTGAATAAATAAAATGCCACTTAAGTCACTAAATATTTAACATGGATACATTTTCATAGCCAGAATACAGTGAAAAATCTACTTAGATAAAAGAATCACCTTTTTTCTTAATATGTTTAGCTGTTTTTCTTTCTTGTGGTAGTCCCTGAGAATTAAGTGAATATAAGAATAGATAACATATCCACAAACAAAATTAGATTTAAAAGATCTATATGAAATAACAAAATACCTGCATCCTTGGTGATTATGATTTTGACTCTTAATGTTAATCATTTTTGTAACCTAAAGTTATGCCTGCATTTATAACTTTTCCTGAACAAAAAACATAATTGAGCTCTAAATGACAAAAAATGCAATGATCATGAGGACTGTTTTAACTATTAACAAAAAGTAAATTAAAACGATCTCACCCGTTGGTGTGTTGAGAAGACGCGTAGAGAAAATCGAGCTCTGTTTGCTTCAATTCAAGAGAGCTTACTAACTTGATCTACGATTATTTATACTTAAACTCTAAAAATAAATCTGCTGACGAAGGATGTGTGGGTATGATGTAATGATGATGTAATGGAGATGGAAAGTTCTAGATTAAGAAACGAGAGAGGCTGAGTAAGCATGGCGCAATGTAGCAATGTAAAGCTGAGATAAACAGCTTAAATTAACATCACTATAAACAGAGTAAATACTTTATCGCTACAATAGTACTTTAATGGTCTTCTTTTTAACAATTTGTACTAATTTGGAATCATTCACACTGAACAATGTTCCTTAATGGTTGTACCTATTGTAGTCTTTCCGTATCTGTATTGTTGTGCATTTGTTTTATCTATATGTTCTTTATATGTTGCTTACGACAACCTGTTAGTTGCATTATTATTCTCACACAGTTCACGAAGCATGTGGTGAGTGACCTTTCAAGGCTCTTAAACATACACAGTAGCAAAAATGGGCTGGCTTGGTTGATGGATAAAAAAATACAGTGACAGACAGAAGCTATAGCAGTAGAAGAACAAAAAAGGTGTACTTTTTGCCTGCAATCATAGCTAGTTCCCTATAGACTGTAAAAAGCAACAAACTGAATGTTGCTTCTAACCACTGACAGGCCAAAAACCCATACAGCTACTGTATTCCCTCTAATGTCACCCTCTGATAAATGCCGCCCTCTATTGAATGCAGCACCTTCAGCCAACCATTTGAAAAAAACGCCACCCACTGACAAACACTGCCTTTTTTAAACCTATCATCTTTAAACGCAGTGTTCACAACACACCAAACAAGAAGTAATGAATAGTTTTACAAATAGTTTGAAAGCCTTGAAAGTTGAGGACTGAGGACTTGGACAGAAACAGGGATATTGATACTCCTTGACATTTCCATAATGTGAACACATCTTTTGTGAAATATAAAAAAAATTCATGCAATTTTTATTACGTGCTTTTGGGAAAAATAAAACATTATTTGAAGTGTGTTTTTCAAAGCTTTTCACAGTTTGACAAATAGTTTGAAGCCATGACAGTTCTACATATAGACAAGGACTTGGATAGAGACAGGGATATTGACATTCCTTGACATTTCCATAATGTGAACACATCTTTTATGAACTTTGAAAAAATTTTCACACAATTTGAGAACTTTAATAAAAATTTTCACACCATTTTTTTACACGTTTTCAGGAAAAAATAAAACATGTTGTATTTTTATCTTATATTGATTTTCTATTAAAAGTTGCCTTCTGATAAACACTGCCTTCTTTTAAACACCGCACCAAAAAGTTGGAGTAAGTAATGAATGCTGCTGCATTCTTTAGAGAAAATACGGTATGTCTATTTGCCCATGGTCCAGGGGCACTTTGTGACAGACCAGTGAACTAAAACCTTGAACATAGCTACATATGAACATTTAAAAATACAATATATCACCTTGCTCTTGCCACATAATCTTTGTGTTTTTCCAATAATCCAAGATGTCTTCTACTCGATAGCTAAAAATGGAAAGCTTTGTGTTGTAAAGCTTTAGCATTGAAAGCTTTTATAGGTAGGGATAGCTATCAGATCATGAGATAAATGGAAAACCAGGTTCTACAAATCATTAAAGGCACTACGTCCCGTCAGTCAACCGTTCAGAGTTAACAATAGGCTTTGTAGCGTGTTTGAAATCGAGAAAACGTTGAAGATTGGATTTCACAAGAGAAGGATAACTCGATCAAAGATATAGTGAAAATGTAGGATGAGATTGCGTTTACGGTTTAGACGACAGATCTAACAGGTAAACGACGATTCTAAGGAAAACTTGGCCTTTTCATAAAAAAATTAATATCTATACCTGGCCTCTTTCTTTATATTTCTTCTGATGACTCTTTTGTGCATTCTTCAATGACGACATTTTGAGCCAAATTAAATAAAATTTATACACTACAACACAGTTCTAGTACAAAAATTCTACAACATGGCTTCCACGTGAACTGAAAGCGAGGCTGTAACTTGTGTCTCCACCGCAGAAGGGTTAGCCTGCGCGCAGAGCATAGGGGAAAAATGCATGACGCTGGTCATGGCGGCACGGAATCGCGGGCGCAAATACTCCACATGGCTTCAACATATGCAGTAAAAACTTCAAAGTCAAAGTGTAAAAGATAATTGTTTTCGGAAATCTAGTAGACATATTATTGGATAAAACTTATAAAACAGAAATGCTTGATCAAGGTATATCAAGAAAGAACTTTTAATCATTATTTCAAAACAACAAACAAAATTGCAGGTAAATGTCGAAATATCTACATTTATATAAAATTACAATATTGAGATGGAACATTGTCGCGATAAAAAGGGTAACTTACAGAAAAATCTAGATTTTGCTACAAAACGAAACTATTGCCAAAGTAATTGCCAAACAACAAGGTTTTTGCTGGTTCGTATCATTTGTTGTGAATGTATTGCCTTTTCATGGAAAATGGAAGAAACTGACCGCTACTTTTGATTATTATGAATGTGACTTCGTGATTGATAAGGAATATGAAAAGGCTGAATTATCGCGAGAAAAAGGGTTACCTACAGAAAAATCTAGATTTTGCTACAAAACGAAACTATTGCCAAAGTAATTGCCAAACAACAAGGTTTTTGCTGGTTCGTATCATTTGTTGTGAATGTATTGCCTTTTCATGTAAAATGTAAGAAACTGACCGCTACTTTTGATTATTATGAATGTGACTTCGTGATTGATAAGGAATATGAAAAGGCTGAATTATCGCGAGAAAAAGGGTTACCTACAGAAAAATATGAAAAGGCTGAATTATCGCGAGAAAAAGGGTTACTTACAGAAAAATCTAGATTTTGCTACAAAACGAAACTATTGCCAAAGTAATTGCCAAACAACAAGGTTTTTGCTGGTTCGTATCATTTGTTGTGAATGTATTGCCTTTTCATGTAAAATGTAAGAAACTGACCGCTACTTTTGATTATTATGAATGTGACTTCGTGATTGATAAGGAATATGAAAAGGCTGAATTATCGCGAGAAAAAGGGTTACCTACAGAAAAATCTAGATTTTGCTACAAAACGAAACTATTGCCAAAGTAATTGCCAAACAACAAGATTTTTGCTGGTTCTTATCATTTGTTGTGAATGTATTGCCTTTTCATGTAAAATGTAAGAAACTGACCGCTACTTTTGATTAAGAATGTGACTTCGTGATTGATAAGGAATATGAAAAGGCTGAATTATCGCGAGAAAAAGGGTTACCTACAGAAAAATCTAGATTTTGCTACAAAACGAAACTATTGCCAAAGTAATTGCCAAACAACAAGGTTTTTGCTGGTTCGTATCATTTGTTGTGAATGTATTGCCTTTTCATGTAAAATGTAAGAAACTGACCGCTACTTTTGATTATTATGAATGTGACTTCGTGATTGATAAGGAATATGAAAAGGCTGAAATGTCGCGAGAAATAGTGTAGCCTACAGAAAAATATAGATTTTGCTACAAAACGAAACTATTGCCAAAGTAATTGCCAAACAACAAGGTTTTTGCTGGTTCTTATCATTTGTTGTGAATGTATTGCCTTTTCATGTAAAATGTAAGAAACTGACCGCTACTTTTGATTAATATGAATGTGACTTCGTGATCGTTCATGTTCAAAATTAATGGCAACTTTCTTCCTTTTTACATGAAAAGGCAATACAATCAAAAGAAATGATAATAGCCAGCAAAAACTTTGATGCTTGGCAATTACTTTGGCAATAGTTTCGTTTTGTAGCAAAATCTAGATTTTTCTGTAGGTAACCCTTTTTCTCGCGACAATTCAGCCTTTTCATATTCCTTATCGACCACGAAGTCACATTCATAATAATCAAAAGTAGCGGTCAGTTTCTTCCATTTTCCATGAAAAGGCAATACATTCACAACAAATGATAATAACCAGCAAAAACCTTGATGCTTGGCAATTACTTTGGCAATAGTTTCGTTTTGTAGCAAAATCTAGATTTGTCTGTAGGTAACCCTTTTTCTCGCGACAATTTCTTTAAAATAATTTTTTTTTCGATTACAAAGTTACTTGGCTAATCTAAATTTTTAGACTGATTCAAAGGTTTGCATTTGAAACTCTGGGCTTTTATTTCTCAATTACTAATTTTTAACTTTATAATAGCATTGCATTGAGTGGCTTCCTCTTTGGGAAAGTCAATTTAAAGTCAAATGGAAAACTTTGAAGATTTTGTTAAGTGGTTGTTGGAATGGTTTCTTGTGTAGTGCACGTGTTTAGCACAAGTCGCATTTTTATTTATCTTCGGTCAAGGGAGATGTCTTCTTCGGAACCTCATCTCTGACAATTTTTGTTCAAGGATTGTACCACTCTAGTGCTTGACAATTTTCAAGTGATTTTCATTGCCTAACAAAACAGCTTTTGGACGTATCATTTCCTATCCTTAATGGGAAAAACGTGTACATTTTCCTGGATTCTTCAAACTTTGTTAGCAAAATGCCCTCAACTTTCTAATGGTTGGTGTGTTTTCGCCCTTTTCTGCTTATTACATCTAAATTATGTATTTTATTTTATTCTTTTGTGGTGTGTGAAAATATGTACTTGTATGCAAATGCATTTCCAGATTGGAATTTGCATCAGTTTTAATGGAAATTTTAATCGAGACACACTTAATGCCTATTTTTTAAAGTTTCATCTATGTTATGGCAATAGAACTAGTTACATTTGTTGCTAGAACAACCATGCAACTTTTGTGCTGCCTTTGTATTGAATATGTCGATCTATCGACGAATCTTTAATCATTCAAAACAATGTGGTGTATTCGTCCTGAAATGTTGCGTGAGCAGTGTTGACATTTGCAGTAACCCCTGTGATTCATCGCGCGCATGGCAAGTACATTTTTCCCCTATGCTTGCGCGCAGTCTTTTGAAAAAAATCCAGCAAAAAAAAGACTGCTACAGAAGTGAAATAAGACGGATGCTGCAAGGAATGGCGGAACTCGTCTGTGGTTTGCTGTGGCATTTACAAGGCCCATGCATCCCTACAGAACAGTTTAATGTTTTAGGCGAATGCAAGAGAAAGACCGCAGGAAATCATTCGGTAGTTTGCTTAATCTACAGGGGCATGTTTGCCATATTTTCTGCTTACTTCGTTCGGGGAATTTTCTGCTAAAGCTGGAATTTAGCTTTTTCTCCAGGGGTTTCAATTCAAAGCAGACACAAACAGAAGAAAAGGAAAAAAGTGTATATTCTACTCTAAGCATTAAATACGCCCTGTTTTAAAGCACTTTCTTACAGTTGAATCTAAAGAACTCGTTTTAGTGCATGTGCAGCTACGAAAACTCTCTCTTACGTTTTCGCCTGAGTCAAAGTAACTACAATTGATAATTATGTATGAAGCCGTTGCTAAAATTTCAGATAACTGGTTTTGCCGCATAAGAACATTATCAAGCGTTTTAAAGAGAGTTCCCCGACAAAATTTGCTGTAATCAAGCCTAAAGTCTCTTTTAGGAGCATTGCGTCAGTCTTCATTTTCCATAGTTTAGTGTTTAGAACATTGACTGAGCTGAGGTATTGGCAGTTGACATAGGAATTGAATTCCATGCAGCTTGCAATTAAGTTTTTCATTGTCGGAACTTTTCCATTGCTTTCGGGCATTTTTCTTCTAACCATAATTGCCACACGTAGTTGGTAAATTATTTGCTATAAATACAGAATTGCGTAGTGATTAGTTGTTTTTCCTGCGGTTCACTTAGATGGATCGCATGGTGAACTCGTTAGGATCGCGGTAGAACCTTTAACATTGCTTATTTACTCCATAACTTGGCTACAGATACATGTTTAGGTAAATTTAGTTATAAGCGTTCAGCGTGTTATAGGCATGCAGCGTTATTTCTACATAAAAATTGCTGTTAATTAGCTTTAGTTGACGTAAAACTGCACATGTTATTCTTGCTTCTTATTGGTAGTTAAAATTGGAGAATTTTTGTAGCGTTACTCAGAACCAGGGACTGTAGATTTAAAAGAGAGCGCGTTAATTGTGAATTTAGATGCATCGTAAGATGTAAACACGATGGTTGATACCAATGAACAAGATAGCAGAGCAAATTTGTCTTGTTATTCTTCAGCGTTCATCTTTAGATACTTCAAAAAATCTTTAGAATTAGCAACTGGGGAGTTTATAGTCCCAAAATTCATCAAATGGTTAGAATGTGATGACGTCTTACTACCATTCATGCCATAGTTTGTATGACGTCATGTACGTTAGCTGAGTATGATCTAGTGCCGACCCCGCAGAAGCACAGTAGGAGCTCGAGTACTATTTTGCTTTTTCAACATTCTTCGACAGTTGGTTACAAAACTAATTTTTTGCTGCGATCTGTAAAAGCTAAAAATGTTCTCTTACATGTATGCAGAACGATCAATGTAAGTCAATTGTACCAGGAAAATTTATTTTAAATAAATTTTCCTGGTACAATTTACTTACATTGATCGTTATTTAAATTCATCATATTGTACCGCACGCATTTTAGTATATGTATGCAGAACGATGGCCAATATTTAAGAAAATATACTCTAATATGTTTAAAGTGAATTAAAGTAAAGATAGCAAGGCCCGCCCCGCGCCACCCATTCTGAAGTGAGGGGAAGGGGGGTTACCTATTTATTACCTAAAAGGTAGATTTGATACCTAAAGTTAGCAAGAAAGGTAGGGGGAAGCCATGGTACCTCGCCCCCTGTGGCGCGGGTCCTGTGATAGAATTCAGAAAGATCAAAAACTGCATTGAGCACATAATGACTTCAAAAGCATGAGCCACCAGTGCTTGAATTTACAAAAAAATCATGCAGGCGTTTTCTATTTTCCAGATTTCTTGATGAAAGTCCTGGAGTTATACTCCATCTATTTATCATTAAAAATCATGGCTCCACATTACAAGATAAGATCAGAGAATTTGAGCCAAAATACACAGTGGTTTCTCAGGAAGTTTAA